TGGCCTATGGTGTCCGCAACTGGAGACTATTTCAGATAATAGGCACTGCACCAGTCTTCCTGCTCTTCTTCTACTTCTGGTAGGGAGCCCCTTGCCAGTGGTAGGCCACCCTGTGTTGGAAATGCTGTGGCAGAGTGTGGGACACAGAGGGGGAGCCTGTGGAGTTTCAGTGGGAGGCTCAGTGTGCACTGGAATCCTGGGTGGCTACATGGGGCTCAAGACCCCGGTCTCAGGGCCAGATGTGGTTGACAGGGTTTTGCCGGAATCTCCACGGTGGCTCCTCTCCCAAGGAAGGATAGAGGAGGCCAAACAACTGGTCCAGAAGGCAGCCTCAGTGAACAGGCGGCCCCTGTCTCCAGAGCTCCTGAGCCAGGTACCTGAAAGCAGGCACAGCCTCCCCCCTGCCTCAAGCCAACCTCTGCCTGTGAACCGGCCACTCACTCTGCCCTTCTTCTAGCTGGTCCCTGAGGAGACAGGGCCCTCAGGGAACACCCTAGATCTTTTCAGACATCCTCAACTCAGGAAGGTGACTCTGATTCTCATTGCTGTCTGGTAAGTGCCCAGGTCCTTGTCCCTCAGTGAGGAGAGAGCCTGGGGATGGCTTGTGTCCTAGGAGGGTGGACAGAGGCTCTGTGAATATGGTGGTCTCTTCCCCTGGTGTGAGCTCATTAAGCCAGGCTGTCCCTGTGGTGTGACTTGATGTACACCCAGCAGTGACAAGGACACTTGGGTACCTTGTAGGTTTGTGGACAGTCTGGTGTACTATGGCCTCGGCCTCCAAGTGGGGGACTTTGGCCTGGACATCTACCTGACACAGGTGATATTCGGAGCAGTGGAGGTGCCCGCCCGCTTTTCCAGCATCTTCCTGATGGAGAAGCTGGGTCGCAAGTGGAGCCAGTTAGGTTCTCTGACTCTGGCTGGTGTCATGTGTGTCGTTATCATCTTCATCCCAGCAGGTACCAGGCTGTTTTCCTCCCTGCCAGGACTAGTGCCATTGCCCCCTTCCTCTTCAGGCTCAGGGTTCTCCAGGGTTTGGGTGAGGTCTGTGAGTAGACAGGGAGGTATGTGGGCTTGCTGACAGTGTCCTTCCCTCTGTGTGGCTGACCTGAGTTCTGCTCCAGGTCTTCCCACAGTGGTCACTGTGCTGGCTGTGATGGGGAAGTTTGCCTCGTCTTCTGCCTTCACCATATCCTACGTGTACACGGCTGAGCTCTTCCCCACTGTCGTCAGGTAAGAACCCCTGGGTGACATTAGTCCTCTGCCCTGGGCACCCTACCCATCCCTGTGGCCCTCTGCCACCTGGGACAGGCAGCCGGCGAGGTGCCGATGGGCCTTGGCCACTGAAAGTCCAGTGCCACTCACCACGTTGCACAGGACACTGGAGGGTAATGGACATGGTCATGTCGTGATCTCCTCAGGACCAGAAGTAAGAGTGAAGGCATGGTGCAGGAGAGGAGTGCTCAGAAGTGGAGAAGGCGTTTGGGTCTCTAGGAGAGTGACAGAGAGGGCTTGCAGGTACAGGAAGCAGGCACACTAGGCAGGCAAAGGTGGCTGAGACCTGGGTCCTTGCATCTCTGCAGTGAGTGCAGCCTGATTGGTGCCCAGAGCCTCAGCTTGCTCTGCTTCCCCCAGGCAAACAGGCATGGGGTTCGTGAGCATCTTCTCCAGGATTGGCGGCATCGTCACACCGCTGGTGATGCTGCTGGAGCAGTACCACAAGGCGATCCCCATGATCCTCTTTGGCAGCCTCCCCATCGGGGCAGCACTGCTGTGTGCTCTGCTGCCTGAGACACGGGGCCAGACCCTGAAGGACACCATCCAGGACTTGGAGCAGGGGTGTCCCCCACGGTGAGCATTGACTTGCTGGACTTCACATCAGGGGACTCTCTCTAGGGCCAGGCCTCCCCATCTCCATTACCCATTATTGCTTTCTCTTTGCTTACTGGCCAGC